GGGTGTATGTGTGTGAGTGATTGTGTATGTGTGTAATGTATAATGTATATGTATAGTCTAATATACACTTTCCTTTCATTTCAGGATTGGTGGTGTGGCATGCTAGAGCCTCCCGGGGGCTCAGGATTGGTGGTGAGTGATGGTGAGTGGCGTGCTAGGGTCTCCCGGGGGCTCAGGATTGGTGGTGAGTGGTAATGAGTGGCGTGCTAGGGTCTCCCGGGGGCTCAGGATCGGTGGTGAGTGGCGTGCTAGGGCCTCCCGGGGGCTCAGGATTGGTGGTGAATGGTGGTGAGTGGTGTGCTAGGGTCTCCCGGGGGCTCAGGATTGTGTTGAGTGATGGTGAGTGCGTGCTAGGGCCTCCGGGGGCTCAGGATTGGTGGTGAGTGGCGTGCTAATTACATTGTTATTATTATTGTGGTGAGAAATTACAAAAAAATGGTGATTAAGGCTCATGAAGCAGTTGTTAAAATGGCCTTTGTTCCGTAGAGTTCAGGGAGGAGCCTAAATAGATGGCCAGCTGATAGTTCTTGTTGCGGAATAGAAATAGAGATGGAAATTACCGTGGGTGTAGTGTCACGTGATCTGGGTATTAAGAACGCGATGGTGAGGATTCAGGGCAAGCAATTTTGGCCGGTAGTGTTCGTCTGAAATTGGAAATGTTAACAAAGGAAGAATGTCAATGTTTGTGTGTTAGTGCGTGTGTGTGTCTACTTGCGTTTGTACCTGTGAGACTGCAGAGAAATTCCTTACATGACTGAAAATGATCAGCACAGACTTGATATAAAATTCATATTAACGTCCATTATAGACACAAATTATTAGAGTAACCATTTATAGTGCTTCTTTTCCTGCATCGTATTTCCAGCTCCAATGATGAACACAGAGGCTGTCATAATAATAAATCCATCAAAAGCCTTGAGAATTTCTAACCAGTAATGGCGGAGTGGTACGGGCGCCGATCCCCAGGCGGAGGTCCAGCGTTCGCTTCCATCCCAGGCCAAGGGGAAGGTGGTCTCCGTCGGTGCCATGACCTTTTTCTATCGTTGTTTTGACGTTATTGCTGTTCTGTTCTTATTATTTTGGTTATTGTTATTATAATCATTATCATTGTCATTGTCTTTGTTATCATTGCCTGTATTATTATCATTAGTTTCATCAATATTTCTATCATCACCGTCATTTGCATTAGCATCATCATCATCGTCGTCGTTATTAGCATTATCATCATAACCATCGTTATCATCTTTGTTATCAATATTATTATTATCATTATCATTTATATTATAATTACTGTATTATTACTGTGATTCTTGTTATTATCATCGTCATTATTCTTTTGTTTTCTTTTTTGTTATCATTATTATTATTATCATAATTATCATAACCATTATTATTTTCATTATTATTATCATCATCATCATATATATATATATATATATATATATATATATATATATATATATATATATATATATATATATATATATATATATATATAATGTGTATATATAGACAGACACACACATACACACACCATTTTTTTTTCTTTCTTTTTTCTGGTCCCTTGGCTTTTGCCTTCTTTGCTCACTCTCTCTCTCTCTCTCTCTATCATCTGTCTCTCTCCTCTCTCTTGCTCTGCTCTCCTATTTGTAGATCTGTTTTCTGCCTCTCTCTCTGTCTGTCGGTCTGCCTGTTTCTCTCTTTGTTTCTCTTTCCCCTTCTCCCTCTGTTTCTGTCTGCCCGTCAGTCTGCCTCTGTTCGCCACCTTGTTTGTCTATCTATCTGTCTCCCTTTTCTCTCTCAACATCTATTCTTTTTCTCTTTGGTACATCAAGGAACTACGGAAAGAAGATAAAATCACGTGAAAATATTTGGAGAAAGAAAGAATAAAAGCAAATGAGACCAAAAGGAGGAAAGAGAAAAAGAAAGAAGTAACGAAAATGTACAAAGAAAACAAAGATAAAAGAAAGACGTATTGGAAAACAAGAAAAAGGAAATCAGTACCAAAGATAAAAAACTATAATGAAAAACCACGTACCAAAGGAAAAATAAAAAGAGATAAGGAAAAGAAAACGGTAAGAGAACACAAATAGACTGATCATTCCGGAAGCAGTGGAATAAATAAAATTAGTAAAATACTCTGAATGTGTGTGTGTGTGTGGGCGCGCGCGCGCGGTTAGGGGGGATGGGGGTGCATGTTTCTCTGTGTATTTGCAATTTATTCTTAAAATACTGAATATAGATATAAGAAAAAAGAAGTGATACAAAAAAGGTAAGGCAAACACGCGAGGAGCAATAAGCTGGACCCAAAAAGATGTCCCTTAAAACGGCGGCGAAAACCCTTCCAGATGCTCCCCACCGAAGGCGCCGACAACAGGGAGAGGCAAAATTTGCCGAATTCTGATTCAAAATGAGATGTGATGTACATTCAGTTCGGATAGACATCACATTCTAGTGACACATTCGATTTGTTTGCGAAATTTGCTGAAAATGATTCAACTTTACTTTCTAATAAATGTTAAGGGAAAATATTACTGATAGAATGGCCCAATAGATATTGATAAAAATTGATCTCTAGTTCCTTGTAAACGCTGGTTACTTTACTGCTCAACATTTGAATAGCATTCACGAAACAAACAAATGAAAGCAGAGGAAAAGAAATGAGGAAATAAACACAAATACTTAATCCCCTTATCTTAATCACAAACACTTATCTTCATCCCCCCACCCCTGTTCTCTTCCTCCCTCTCTCTCTTTCTCTCTAATGAAGATAGTAAGTGGAAAAAAGAAAAATACGTGAATCCAAGTAAAAATGAATTGATAGAAGGAGATTTGAAGGATTTCAATATAAAAGAGAAACAGATAAAGCCATCCACAAAAGAACAAGAATTGGCAGTGCGGAACAGACAAACAGAATCACACCAAAAGGTAAAGAGAAGAATTCAGAGATGATAAGGAAAAGGAAACAGGCTGTTTATAGGCAGATGGTAATACACGCAGAGAAAGAGAGAAAAAGAAAAAGGACGAAGACGAAAACAAACTAAACACAGATACACTAAAGACCTATGTGAAAGTAGGGAAAAGGGATAAATAATACAGAGACAGAGAGAGGGGTGTGTGTGTGTGTGTGTGTGTGTGTGTGTGTGTGTGTGTGTGTGTGTGTGTGTGTGTGTGTGTGTGTGTGTGTGTATTGCAAAGTAGAAATTTAGAAAAGAAGTTGGAAAATGGAGAAAAGCAGCTAACAAAATCATATGAAATTGATTTTGATGTATCATCAAACACACTAAACTTCCTAACTTTATATTTACATTAAGTAAGTACTTCTTTAAGCGTCAAACAATCTGCCTTCTTACAGCACACTATGATCATAATTATACAAGAATCTTTTATTTGCATAATTTACAGAATCTGCAATCTTAGCCTTAAATGTTGTGTAAAGTTAAATTAGTGCTAAATATATAGAATATTAGAAAATAAATATTCACCATGAAATAAGAAAAACAAAAACAATAGTATTTTCACTGTATATGGCATTCAGACTTGACAATCTTATTACTAGAGGACACTCTCTTATATCATCATCATTACAACACAATAATCCAGAATTTCGATGCCGGGGTTTCATGTCTTCTCCAACAAGATCTTCAGTCGCATCTTTTTTCGGGCTTGATGTTCTGCAACCAATGCCTGGAGTATCTGTTAGGAAAGACACATAAAGAGAGATGGCAAAAAGCAAATCAAGAATCTTAAGTGATATATACCCACGACAAATAAGCATTCTTCAAAACCTAAACAAAAAAAAAGAAAAAAAAAAGTCGAGCGCTGTTTTTCTTGAACCACATAACTGAACACATATCACTTGGCCTATACATATTTTTTATCTTATATTCATTTATTTGGTGAAGCATCTACTACAACCTACAAAAACATTTCAAGGAAATGTTCCAATCACACAACCAAACAGACTGCTCTATCAAAAAACAGGATACACAACAATACACACATACATATTGTACGGATATACATACCTTAATGAGTTCAGCCTTTAGCTCTCTCGCGAGCATATTGCCCGAGGAGGACCGCTGGCGAATCTCCTCTAACTCTTCGGCGTCGTCTAAGAAGGCCAGGTGCGACGCGTCCACCTCGCAGTCGCCTCCTTTTCCCCGGTGCTCCTCGACTGCATCAATATATATGAATCCGAACCGAACCCTTTGAGACCAAGTCCTAATTACTCCACAAACATCGCCATATGAACAAAAAAAGGCCTACCACATGGGCTTAAACACCAGACCCTATCCAACAGCTGCATTTCCCTACAGGGGGTCCACGCCCTGATAATTATTTGTTTATTTAATATTATCTGCCGCGTCAACAGCTAAGGTCATCAGCAGCGACAACACTGTGGGGTCAAAATGTCAAAAAAAAAAAAAATGAAATCCACTCTCTGACCCTCGCTAAATCGTTATGAGCTTATTGTAGGCGAGGCATTAGATCAACTTTTTTTCTTTTGTTATTCTTTCGTCTACAATGATTATTTCAAGTATCTGAAATTGTAGTTTTTCCCTTACTTATGGAAGTGTTTACCAAAGATTAAGTGTTGCATAACTCATAATCAACTTGCCATGAAAATATCAAAAATGAAAAGTGTCTCATTTTTGTTAATTCTTTCCAAAAGAAGCAAGCTTTACCTTTTACCATAGGACTGCGTGGAAATGAATCTATACCAAATTATCAGGATATGGTATAGGCCTATCGATGTTAATGTTATTATTACCAGCGTTAACTTTGGGATATGGAAGCAGTGAAAATCTCTGACAGAATCGCAGAGAACAGCCATAGACCTTTCATGATTACCGCCCCTGATTTCCCCGTCACTCAGACCAGATAACTTAGAACTGAAGGTTTTTGAAGAAAAGAATGTCAGGTTTGCTTTTATCACATTAAAATAAAGAAGCACATTGATTTGGTCGGCCTTAATCATGCTTTTAATGGGCGCTGGCCGAGAGGGTTGATGGTGGGCTGGGGCCTTCCCCCCTCCCCCCTCCAGAAAACGTTGTCTTCACTTCTGTAATCTTTAGAGCTTCTGTTGTCTTCAGATTACTGCTTTTGCCAACGACTGCAACTTTTACTTCACAAGAATATCAGCTTTAATTTATTGTGGCCGAACCGTAAGGATTAACCAGTGAGATGTAGGCCTATGAAAGCTATGCTCAAGGAAAACACAGCAAATTCACAGAGACAATATGCTATCCTTTTCCACCTTTCAGAAAGTATTACATGAGTAAAGGGAACTTGAAACATAATCTACGAGACAATAGATATCAAATTAGTAGTATTATGTATTATTACATAAACTGAATCCAAAGTCCTAAAAAAGAGACACAAAATTATGACAGAAATAATACCGGTAAAATACCTAAATACTGAAGTACAAACAATACACAACAAATAGACCAGTTTCCACTCTTACTTAAAAATCATAGTCATATACTCACAAGCTACACCGCGTCTCACCCCACTGAACCCTTAACACTAGGAAAACTGCCGCAGGATCGGAGTCTGTCGCGAAGCCAAATCTCAAAACGCACGCGAAGGAACCACGTTTGAAGACGCCTTAGGCTGACCGGCCACCGACTCCCTCTTCTCGAGCAGCGTGGGAAACATGCGGCGTGTCGCTGTTAGCAGTTTTCTGCTAACATCGACAGCGCACATACCCAGTTCCAAAATCAAAAAAAAACATTTTGTGAAATAATTTGAGAAAGATAGACTTAGAAATCATCATAATCCATATCTTTTATATTCTCTACCCTTAGCATCATGTCTACTTTTTATTATCCTTAATTTTGTTCACTTTCAATTTTCTGAATATGACTTTATTGTTACTGCCATATAATGATTATTATTGTTTTTATAATCATCCTTTTTACTGTTATTATTATCATCATTTTTTTATTATTATGATCATTATGAATGCCAGTTATTTCTATCGCCAATAGATATAATTATCATTATCATTATTATCTTTATCATAGCCATTGTTATTATTATTACTATTATCATTATTATTTCTATTATTAATTTTCATTATTGCTATTATTTGTCATTATCATAATCATTTTCATTATCATTATCCTTGTGAATATCATCATTATGATTATTATTACTATAATTTTTATCATCATTACTATTACTATCATTTTTATCATTATAATTACCATTATCATTACTACTATCGTTGCTATTAGTACAATCATTAATTTCTTCAATATTATCATTATCATCATTATCATTATCACGATTAAAATCATTATTGCTATTATTATCGTCATCATGATCATTATCAGTATAATCATTATCTATTGTTATCATTATCATTATCATTGGCATTATTTTTATTTATATATTATATATATATATATATATATATATATATATATAAATTAATTAATTTATATATATATATATACATATACATATACATATATGTATGTGTATATACATATATCTAAGTATGTGTGTGTGTGTGTGTGTGTGTGTGTTTTTGTGTGTGTGTGTGAGAGTGAGTGAGTGAGTGAGCGATTGAGTGTGTGTGCGTGTTTGTGTGTGAGTGTGTGTGAGTGAGCGAGTGAGTGTGTGTGGGAGAGAGAGAGAAAATGAGTGATTAAGTGAGTGACTGAGTATGTGTGTGTTTGTGTATGTGTGTGAAAGTAAGTGAGTGTGAGTAAGTGACTGACTGACTGAATGAGTGTGTGTATATATACATATGTGTGTGTGTGTGTGTGTGTGTGTGTGTGTGTGTGTGTGTGTGTGTGTGTGTGTGTGTGTGTGTGTGTGTGTGTGTGTGTGTGTGTGTGTGTGTGTGTGTGTGTGTGTGTGTGTGTGTGTGTGTGTGTGTGTGTGTGTGAGTGAGTGAGAGAGTTTGTGTGTGTTGGTGTTTGTTTTTGCGTTTGTACGTGCAAGTGTGTGGTTGCATGTGTGTGTGTCAGAGTGAGAGAGTGAATGAGTATGCGCGTGTGTCTGTGTGAACATAAATAGATAAATAAACATGTATACACACACACACACACACACACACACACACACACACACACACACACACACACACACACACACACACACACACACACACGCACACACACACACACACACATATATACATATATATATATATATATATATATATATATATATATATATATATATGTGTGTGGTGTGTGTGTGTGTGTGTGTGTGTGTGTGTGTGTGTGTGTGTGTGTGTGTGTGTGTGTGTGTATGTATGTATACACACACACACATATACACACTCACTCATTCAGTCAGTCAGTCAGTTACTCACTCACTCACTCACTCACTCACATGTACACACACACACACACACACACACACACACACACACACACACACACACACACACACACACACACACACACACACACACACACACACACACACACACGCACATATACATACATACATATATATATATATATATATATATATATATATATATATATATATTATATATGTGTGTGTGTGTGTGTGTGTGTGTGTGTGTGTGTGTGTGTGTGTGTGTGTGTGTGTGTGTGTGTGTATGTATACACACACACACACATATACACACTCACTCATTCAGTCAGTCAGTTACTCACTCACTCACTCACTCACATGTACACACACACACACACACACACACACACACACACACACACACACACACACACACACACACACACACACACACACACACACACACACTCACTCATTCAGTCAGTCAGTCAGTTACTCACTCACTCACTCACTCACTGTGTGTGTGTGTGTGTGTGTGTGTGTGTGTGTGTGTGTGTGTGTGTGTGTGTGTGTGTGTGTGTGTGTGTGTGTGTGTGTGTGTGTGTGTGTGTGTGTGTGTGTGTGTGTGTGTGTATGTGTGTGTAATAATAACAATAATAATGATGATGATAATGATAATGATAATGATAATGATAATGATGGTAATACTAATAAGCAGAAAAAACAATGATAAAGATAATGATAATAATAATATCACTGTATCACTCTGACATCGGTGAATGTGTATATAAACATGTTGTTTCATATGAATAGCCGCTTTATACATCTATAGTTTGTTATGATTTGCTAATGTGTGAATTCTCCATTCATTAATTTGACGGCTCTCTTGAATTCTTCGTTCACAGTGTCAGTGACAAGCCTATGACACTCACACACACACAGAGATACACAATCCTGTGGACAGAGGAGGAATGCGTTTTATAATTATGTATATTCCTTCGTTGAAAATTATTCTTATTCTCTTGAATTCCTTTCATTTTTACTTTCACATTTTCTCTCTTTCTAAAACGTATTTTGAAAGATAAGCTAAAACAACACTGATTTCCGAGAAAAGTAAGTGTATTAGAAAAGATGATTAAATAATGGACTGAGTAATCTTTCTCCTTCCCTTCCGCCATTTTACCTAATGTCTTATATCTCCCGAATTATCTCGCACTCCCTTCTCCCTCTTTTTTACTTTACGCTTTTCATTCGATCATTTTCGTAGTCCATGCTTTGTCTCCTTCGTACAAGTGAATGCGAACTCACTGCGGAAATTTTCATAAGAGCCGTTGAGTTCATCCCTAATCAAGCAGTTTCTGTTTCGAATGATTAAATTAGATCCAATGTCAAGAATATGAAAGTGACAAGAGAGAAAAAAATATATACAAATATATACACGGGAACAACGTCCGTAAGCAGATCTTCGAACACACACAAAAAATATATCATATTCTTCGTGTTCACATTTCTCTCTGCAACTCGATGTCGCATCTCCAGGGTTCTCGCAGGTATAAGCTGGGAAATTTAAGGCCTTTTTAAGACTTTTTAAGACTCATACCGATTCCTTTTTAAGACCTGGAGCCACCTGTCCCTAAATACACACTTCCCCATACTGTGTAGGCCTACTTCTCGCGTCAGTGACGATGACGATGACGATGACGATGACGATGACGATGACGATGACGATGACGATGACGATGACGATGACGATGACGATGACGATGATGATGATGATGATGATGATGATAAATAGATAAAAGAATAAGAGAAAAATCCTCTCGGATAGACTGCGTGCCAGAACGATTTTTTTTCACACGGAAATTTCAATAACTGAAGACAATTTAAGACTTTTCAAGGACGTGCCCGAAACCTGGTCTCTCGAATACATCGCGGCTCCTTCTGTCAACGGGAGAGTCTCTCGAAAAATCGGCTTTCTAAACCCTGAGATTAAACCACGTGAACATCTGAACCTTTCTCGGAAGTGTGTGAGAAGATTACCATTGCCAAAGACCGAAAAATGTTAGTGAAGTACAAAAGGCTTGGTGATTTAGAGACGCTGGTGATTTAAGCGTCATTGTAGTTATCTCTAATGAAGTTGAGGCTCCTGTAAAGTTGCAGTCAGTGATATGATAAGTGATAAGCTTATCATATATATGATATGATATGATGAGTGATATGATAAACTTACAGAGATCTATAATGCCTGTGATGCAGTGTTATTGTTTGCTTCGTTGAGAGAGGAAAGCGCTGCAGGAAATCATTGGTTTTGTTTTTTGCTTTTATTTCTACGCTGGATCTCCACCGCATGGGAGACGACGCGTGTAAGAATCGTTCAGATGGAACAAAGGAGCCAAAATAATCGTTCCAGAAGGGGTTCAGAGAACCAGATGTGGGGGGGGGGGGGGTACAAGCCCCAAGTTTCAGGTTGACCCCCATTAATTTTCAGATGAAAGAGGAAAAATAGCATTCTTATCTATATCACTTCCTTCTTCAGGAAAAGAGACCCTAAAAGTCTTTTAAAATATGTCATTATTGGATTTTTTGAGGTATGAAAACGGCTCCCGCTCGGACAGTTAACTAAACATCACTCCGCATATTCATAACACTATGGCACAAATGCAGTACGCAATGGATCTATTTCCCAACATACTGAATCACAGAAAGTTAACATGCGTTGAACTAGTGTGAACACCATCACAATTAGTGGCAGGTTTATACAGGTGTTGAACAGCTTTTGGTGGATGCAGTGGATAGCAGTGAATCGTTAGGATCAACAAGAAAAGCAAGAACACGAAGGAAGATTCATAGCATTCTATAGCAGGTTAGTGGAAGTCTGAAGAGCAACCGGAAACAGATGTGGAGGGATAGAGTGGAGGTGGAGTTGGTGTGGATGACGCCTGGTGGAAGAGTTCGTGTCTCTGTGCAAGGGCAGCAGAGCAAGGACAAGCCTCCTAGGACGCGCTTCCGTGGTGCAGCGGAAACGTGCCCCCCACATGCGCAAGGGCCTTGGATCTGTCGTGTTTACCCCAGCGAAGACACTTTCAAACTACAACGCGGGTCTTGCAGAGTGTAATTCAGACGGAGGAGCTGCTTTAAAAAAATGGTAGCAGGCATGTTTTACAGCATGACCCGCCCATTACGACTCTGAAGCCCTTAAATCCGCAAGTATTAAGAAAATATGATACTACTTTAATTAACTTATCTTTCATTTATTATTATAATTAACTTGTCATTTCTTTCTGTTATCACTGTCAGTGTAATCATTTCTTTTTCCATTTAATCAGCATTTCTTTCATGTCCATACTTCTTTTAAAAAACAAATAAAACAAGGATAAAACGCAAACAAACAAAACTTATAAAGAAAACCTGAGATCCCCTCAGTCTGGATATTCTCAAACGTGTACAATACATATATCACATCATATCTGGCCTCTTACAAAGAATGAAAATATACTTATCTCTCTCTCGTAGGTCTCAAGAAATACATCAAGGTAGCGGCGAGCGGTGAGGCCGGGCGCCGCGAACCAGACACGGCTACAAGCGACCCACCCAAGAGCGATACGCGGCAAGACTGTGGTTTATATACTCTTGTGTCTTGTCACAAAAGATTTTTAAATAATATAAATTAAAATAAAATAGGTAAAAATAAGAGTGAAGCGTATTTGACCCTTAAGCGTTAAAATATGCCCGAGGCCGTTAAAAGAAAGCTAAAAAAAATATAGAAATACACGAAACAGTAAAATGCTCCAGGTGGCTGCCGAAGCCTCCCACAGATGGTGCTGCGCTCTTAACAGGGGGACTCGCCTAGTCTGGACTCACAAAATAGTGGAGGTACATCACGTCCACTACAGATCGATCCCGAGCGGAAGAACAGTGACGTAATTTTTTAAAGGATATTACTCACGGAATCTTACCGAAATAAATGGTGATGAGATTATATTAGAATATAAGAATGCATGTGCAAGTCTGTAACACTGCACTAAGCACTGAAAGATTATTCGATAAACCAAGAAAAACTCGTTTCGAAAAGGCGGTTTCCTCGTCTTCAAGCTAAGGACTGGCGGTTGGTTGGTTTGGCGAAGGATTAGGGTCGGTGGTCGGTTGATTAGGATTAGGATCAGTGACAACACAAAGACAAGCTTAGTTGGTTGGATTGGTTGGTGATTAGGGTCGGTGAAGGATTCGGATCGGTGAAGGATTAGGATCCGTGGTCGGTTGACTGGTGAAGGATTAGGATCCGTGGCTGGTTAGTTTGTAGAACCAGGGGATCGAAGGATTGGCGGTGGTGGTGGATTAGGATCGGTGATGGTTGGTTGGTGGTGGCGAAGGATAACTCTTAATTAGCTAATGGATTAGTGATGGTGGTGAAGGCTTAGGGTCGGTGGTGGTTGGTGTCTGTGGGGAAGGATCAGCGGTGGTGTTATTATCATCATCGTCATCGTTAGAATGAGGATTTCATTTCTATTATTGTCACCATTATTTTAATTTTACTCATTATCATCATCATTACCAATGTTATTATTCTTTTTCATTATTATAAATATTATTATCATTGCTGTTGTTGTTATCATCATTATTATTACTATTACTATTATTATTATTATTACTATCAATATTTTCCTTATCATTACATTACTATTATCATTATAATTATTATTACTATTATTATTATCAATATTATCCTTATCATTACATTATCATTACTGAGTAAATGAAATTCTAAAATAGATAAACAAGTAAATTCTGATGCTGCACATGATGCTCTTCCTCTCTAGTATTGTAATTTGTAGATATTTCAAGAGTTCAGCTAAATCGGTGCCACTTTCGCAATGAAATATACAAAAGTATCATTCATACCGCTGTTTGCGTAATAATAACGTTAAGGCAATGGCAATGGATCTTAAGATGGTAGAAAGAGATAAATAGTGTATAAGAAAATAGTGATAGCAAGTTGTTAGTCAGGTCAACGGTTCCTTAAAGTAATCGAATTTACATATAGCCACATATCTTAATAAGTGATTTACTCCTTACGTAGATTTCTGTTATGATTTACACGAAGAAACAGACCATCAAGTACTGAGAGGTGAAATAGAGGCACATACACACAAGCTACAAGCTAATTGTCATTCTGTTTAGATTAAATAAAATCCGTAATAAAAATCAAATCAGAATTAACAGAATGTAGTGGATTTATAACGTCAAAAATTAACAACGATCGTTCTCAACAGTGGGCTTCCCCGTTCTCTTTTAAATTTTACCTATTTTCTATGATTCTATTATGTGCAAATTACTGTGCACTTGTAGTAAGGGTAAGGAAGCGAAAATTAATGATAAAAAGGAAGAACTAAAATGATATCTCCAACGTTAACTGACAGCATAGCTTTCACATAAATATATGTCATGTATGACGATATCTGTGTTTGTGTGTCCGCCTTTCTGTTAATCTTTTTCTGTTTATCTCTTTCTCCATCACCCCTCTTCCATCCTTCCTTCCCTATTTCACGCTCTCCATCTCTCCTTTTCCGTCCTTCCTTCCTTCCCAAAACTTTTTTCATCAGTTAACGGTAGAAAGAGGGAAATGAGAACGAAAAGATTTTAAAAATCAGTATTTCATACATAGTTGTCTTTGTCAGTATTCATATCATATTTACAAGTCTTGCTGACGAAGATATAATCGAAACTCGCTAAACCCAACTCATACACTATCAAGATATTCACTCATTTTCTACATGTCGCCGTAAAGGTGTAATAAAATCATTACCTGTCGTGAATTATTTCAAAACAATATATTCACACTTACATATACATGGGTATCTTTATCTCTCTCTTGTGCTCTCCTACTCCTTGTTCTCCCCCTTTCTCGCTCCCTTGTTCTACCTCGCTCTACTGCTCTCTCTCTCTCTCTCTCTCTCTTTCTCTTTCTCTCTCTCTCTCTTGCTCTATCGCCCTATCGCCCTATCGCCCTATCGCTCTCTCTCTCTCTCTCTCTCTCTCTCTCTCTCCTTCCCCCTCCTTCTCTCTTCTCTTCTCCCCTCCCCCTCTTCTCCCCCTCTTTCCCCCTCTTTCCCCCTCTTTCCCCCCTCCTTCCCCCTCCTTCCCCCTCTTTCCCCCTCTTTCCCCCTCCTCCCCCTCTCCCTCCCAATCCTAATCCCTATCCCTCTCCCTCTCAAAACCGACAGGTAGTCCTCGTGACGGAGAGCCTGGAGAAAACGTCCATGCAGGCTGAACTTTCATCCTCTGGAAAGAAAAGGGAGATGAAAAAAATACACCAGTCGACTCTCAGTATAGCATTTTGATGCAACAGTGATTTATTACAAACAAAAGATAAAATAAACGATAGATAAACCAATAAAACACTTGAACTGTAATATATAACATTTAGTTTGGTGTTGTTCCGTGCTGCAAACTGACCGTTGTCCTGCTCCAATAACACGTAGTTCAGACTCCTTGTTTCCGCGTAGCACTCCGCGGGCATCTCTGGGCTCTTCAAGTACCTATTTAAATCAACATTAGTAAGACCTGTAAGTTTCTGCAGCATTGTAGGAATGAAAAAATATAAAACATGCAACCTAAACCCAACGTAAATCTTTAGAACATATAAATATATGATTGAATGAATGATTAATCAATTATCTAATTAATCAATAAGCGTATAAATAAACACATAAACAAATTAAACTGTATTTCCATAAGTATAACATTTGCACACCAACACACGTAGGTCTGCAAACCGCCATTACCTTGAAAGCATCTGATGCATCTCCTCTTCCGACATCGATGGCCAGGGGGCCTTCCACGTTCCTGTAAAAATGTGTATATAAATACCAAATAAATCTGCAATCCTAATAATGTGAAATGCACCGTCCTGCTTGGAAATCTGACTGGGTGATATTTGTGCGACCGTGTATCACTTAGCTTAGGCACAATCTTTAATCGCATTTGTACTTTTCTATAAATCCCAACTCGATGCATTCCCTCCCACTGCGCGTGCCAGGGCGCTTCGCTTGCCCCTTGCCGCGGAGGCCCAACGTCTTAAACGTCGTCAGGGAAACTCACCACTAGTGATGGACGCGGTGTACTGGTCGATGACAAAAGCTTCATTGTCCCGATGCAAGTGCACGACATTAGACATACTCTGGTTCCCTGCAATGGCGATAGATGTAGGGTACAGTGGGTGGCCATTGGCTAATATTTATCTCGGGTTAAATGCAAACACTTTCTTTTTCCTTCACTTACTGTTTTCTCTCCGCATCTCATCAAAGCGATCCAGTTGCGACCGGATGCTGAAGGCGTTCGGAAGGGACGCGTCCTGCAGCGGAACCGGCCGCGGGGGGGGCAGAAAGTTGCAGATCTTCTCGATGTAGTCTCTAGCCCAAGAAGGATATAGGGAAACGCATTGTGAACAGATACATGAATAAATGTAAATGTGCATATATATACACAATTCATATAAACAAACATATATATATATATATATATATATATATAATATATATATATATATATATATATATATTAAAAACACGCATACAGGCACTCACATATGCATGTAC